TCTCTCTCTCTCTCTCTTTCTCTCTCTCTTTCTCTCTCTCTCTCTCTCTCTCTCTCTCTCTCTCTTTATCTCTCAATCTCTCTCTATCTGGCTGTCTGTCCTTCTGACAAGCAGGGTCGAGGCCGCCTCCAACTTTATCTAAATTCTCGATGTGGCCGTTACATATCCGCATTTAAAAATTGAAAATTAAATTATATACCTACATAGATACCTTTTTACAGTTGGCATTAGTATTATCATAACATACACAGTGAAGTCTGCGTTGTGCCACGGTTTCTCAGAATGATTCCAGTAAACGAAAATTAATTTTAAAAATAAATAAAGCACCCGCCCGTTACCACAGCATTGTAAACCAAAATAGGTGTTATGGCACTCAATGTGAATGGGAAAGGGAACACTTCAACATAATATTCAATATTCATTTAGTTAGAAAATGCTCTCTGCATAACTTTGCAACGTTTATACGAGTACAAATATTTAGATACCTTACGTCATAAGTCATGATTTGACAAGTGGTGTATCTGTGGGATTTCTTCTCTTGATCTCTTTGAAAATGGTTTGCCTTTTTCATAATATTATTCTTGGATTACGCTTAAACTTCTCAAAATGTTTGCTTTTTTCATTTTATCAAGACAAAGCAGCTAAGTCGGTGATTGCGTTTAACGTACTGGAACAAAAAATAGAATACGTTGTTAGAAGTATTGATATAAAGTTTGATATTAAATTGTAATTGTTGATTGAATTATCCTAGCAGATATCTTTAATCTGTTTTTTTAAAGAAAAGTTGATGATTTTTATTTTGTTCATTAAATTGTTTGAGATGATGATATTCTACTAGGTGATGCAAATATTCGAGAATGGTGTTCATATCGCTAGAGATAATGGTCGAGGATGTACTTATCCAAGATGGTAAAAATAGTCGATGATGTTTATTTAATATGGTGATGTAAATAGTAGGTAATTGTGTTTAAGATGTTTTCCAACAAATGTCAGTAACGACATATCGTGCATTGGCGTAATTGTGTGTGTGCCTGGACAAAGGTCCCAGTTGTCGGCACAACTATGTTTGAGCAACAGCGTGAAAAGGCCAAAAAAAGTCGTACCTGGTCAAAGATTTAGTCCCATCAGAAAATACACGTTTAATCATTTCTTAATAACATATTGAAAGGATTTTTTAAAAATAGATATTTTTGCATGTTGTCTTTGACAAAGGTAGAAATGTGCTTGAAATTGGGGTTTTCTCCAAACTTTGTTTTTACACCCAGTGTAACAAAATATAGCATAATATGTTTAAAACTACTCACAATATTTTCATACAATAAAACGTCAGAGTGTTTAGCATTGAATTCGCTAAAAGAATATTATGTCCGTATTACAATATCCGAAATTTCTGACATCTGAGACCTTTCTACAGGCACACACGGAAATAGTAGATGATAACGTGACAATAGTCTTTGTGCTGGTGTAAAGAGTCGGGGGTGATGCTCACAGTTTGTTATGAATATCCTGCACACTCGTACTCCAAAGCCGTATGTGGTGTAACGGTTCGGCACTTCGCTGTCGGACGCAGGAGACCCGAGGTCGGTTCCTGATTTGGCGGGAAAATTTTATCGTGGTCGAGAGGTACGGTCTTCGCCTCTCATTCAATAGGTCTGGGTTTAAAACCTGACAGCTACGGAAAATCTTTTAGCTCTAAAATTTTCTCCTGCCACCTCCTTCCCTGCTCTATAATCATGGTCTGTCGTCTGCTTTCGTCTCCAATTTCTGCCCCCCCCCCTCCTTTTTGCCCCCTCCTCTGGGCTTTTTTCAGCTGCTGCCTACCGCTACACTTCCCGCTCCCTCTTACTGCTTTCTTTCGGCCACACCCCTGATCTTAGAGTAGGTGAGATCGAACAACTAGCCTTCTCGGAAAAGGGCGAAAAAATCTCGTAGGTCGCGTTTACAAGTTGTGCGCGTTAAAGATCCCTGCGTTATCTTGAAATTGATATGAGTAGGCTTTCGCCGCCAAGGGGGCAAAAATTCAAAATTGAATTATCCTACCTAACTGTAAATATCTTATGTGTCCCGTGCGCTCATAGGACCTAATGCAGTTGTGAGCGCCGTAAAACACGTACCAAAAGAAAAGAAAAGAAAAGAAAATGGGGCGTGCCAAGAAACCATTAAAAAAAGACGAAGAATACTCCAAGAGTATTGCAAACATTATTCCTATACCTGTATCAAATGATTTAGTATAAACAATAGACCCTCCAAAACTCAAAATTTGTGCCATTTTCATAATACCAAAAATGAAACTTGTTATTTAACTTTTTTGCAACCTAAGTTTCATTTGTATTAAATATTTATCATATTGTAAAAAAATCAACAAACATTATTATAATTACTGCATTATTATGTTGCATTATGATTCGGAGAACCCAGGTCAAATTCCCAGTGGGACCCAGTTGGCTCTGTTCTGTCGGAGAGGGACTTGAGATCGGAGTTTTCGCCACTTGTAATAACATTGAAGAGGGCTGTGTAAATCCATACTTCAAGCTACGGTGAAGGATATTCTTGTTAACTTTGCGGGTCGCAGGGGTTTGTTTTCGGAGTAATAACTTCTTAACCCCATGTCTCTCCCAGCAACAACAGGTTTTTTTTCTTTCTTTGGGGATGCTGTGCTGGACAGATAGATAGATAGATAGATAGATAGATAGATAGATAGATAGATAGATAGATAGATAGATAGACAGATAGATAGATAGATCAAGTTAACAAAATCTTAGCTTCTGCGGTGAAATCTAGAAATTAGAGTCGGTTGCAGCAACTCGTGAATCTCACCGAAACGACGCACTAACTTTTCGCCACTAAGTTTCACTCCTAAATGTAAAAAAATATATATTGAAATGTGAAGCTTACCTGCTACAAATTCTCAGAATACTTCCGAAGTCAAACGAAACAAATAAAATAACCAGGATCAAAAGTTACTCCGGTGTGCTGCCTGGTGACTATTCTATTGCCAAAGGTATTTGTCCAGTGATAGGCCTTTGGGTATTCCCTGATTTCCCTTGTGGCTCTGTGAGCACCACGGCTGTCCAGAAAGATGGTCTGAGGACATACGACCCACCACTGTTCTTTTGCCCTCTTTTATATGAGCCCTCAAGTCACGCGCCTCAGTAAGACCAATCTCTGGCTGTCCACGTGCAAACCATTCATTTGCACTTGTGGTCAATGCGTGTATTATTCAAATTTCATATTCACCATTCACTTTGCTTTATGTGTTCATTAACATTTTAACTGGTAGCCAGCGACATCTTGTCAGCTAAACAATCAGTAGACAACGTCAAATTATTCCATGTACATAACTCACTTGTGTCAGTTCTCAATCGTTGCGTATTCTGCTTGGCCATTCCCTCCGTCACCCCTCTGTCTATGGGCGAAACTCTAGCCATCGTAATCACCAGTAGCGCCAATAACACCACCCAGTATACGTAATTAATTCAACGTGAAAGCACTATTGTGAGACCTCTGCATGGTTTTGCTTAACTAGCGTTGCGTTAAAAATTTTTGCAGGATCAACATTTGTGTTGTCCATCAACAGGATAGTATTAGGTTTTTGACCAAGGACAAAACTTTAATTACATCAAAGTAATCACAGGGCCCGCATCGGAAAGGCAGAGGCTGCGTTCATATTTTTAATAGGATTTGGAGGACCAGTCATATCTCACTTCGAACAAATCTGGGCATTTTCATCTCAAATGGGAAGTCAGTCTTGTTGTATGGATGTGAAACATGAAACGCATCTCAGACTGGCTTAAAAAGTGTCCAGGTTTTCTTGAACAAGGTGTCTAAGGAAGATACTGAGGATCAAATGGACAGACAAGGAGGAAGTGTTAAGGAGAAAAAGACAGAACCCGGTCAGAGATGAATTGGAAAGAAGGCGGTGGTGATTGATTGGACATACTCTCAGGAAGTCAGGCAGCTGCTTAACAAGGGAAGTGTTGGATTGGAATCCACAGGGTAAAAGATAATGGTTAAGACCACGTGGAACCTGGAAAGAGTCACAGAAAGTGATGCACAGAAAAGTGGCTAGACATGGAATAACACCTAGAGGTATCCCAGGATAGGGAAAGGTGGAAAACATTTGTTCTTGGCCTATACCCTGATCCGGCAAATATAGGTAAAATACCCCCCCCCCCCTTCTCAGAAGGAAACATCGTTGGACCAAGCTGAGGCTCGAACTCCCGAACCCACAACCTCACGATTACGAGTCCACCGTGATCCGAGGTGAGAAAGGCAATGATAATGTTGATGAATCTCAAGACAAGCACTTCACTCTGATGCATACACTACCGTATAACACAGACTGAAGTATACAAATCTCAGTTAACTAATTTTGTTGGAGAGCGTAATTATGGAAAAAATGCATCGTCATTTTGGAGTTGAAACCGCGACAAATAAAGAGAGAACTAATTCTATGTTGGAATGTCATCATTAGTTATGATAATTTTTTTAAAGACTACGATATTGAATAGAGAGGAAAGATACAAGCAAACTTTACAAGGAGTCATGCGCATTGATATTTTATAGATCAATACATACATGCACTCACTACTCTGACAAACATCGTTTCTGTGACTGTTTGTCATGGGAAAGGCCATTTACTCGATTTTTTCCACAATTCTTCCAATTGTGAATGGATACCCCGTAAAAGACAGCAAAATAAGATCTTATCAGTATGTTAGTGTTTAAGCGACTGTTAAGTGGCAGCTTGCACTGTATGCTTCCCAGGAAGCTGAGATTATTTCAAAATGCTGGGGTAATAATAGATTCTGAATCACACAGAGCTTGCTGTTGAGCAGGAATGTACGCTGTACAAATAATAATAATAATAATAATAATAATAATAATAATAATAATAATGATAATAATAATAATAACAAGAATATTAATAATAATAATGATAATAATAATAATAATGATAATAATAATAATAATAATAATAATAATAATGATGATGATGATAGTAATAATAATAATAATAGTAATAGTAATAGCAATAATAATAATAATAATAATAATAATAATAATAATAATAATAATAATAATAATAATAATTCACCATCATCCTCATCATCTTCATCATCATCATCATCATCATCATCATCATCATCATCATCATCACTATTATAACTATGCCATTGCATTTACGACATTGTACTTGTTTTATGGCCTCTTAGATATGATTTTGATTTTTTAGGAGGCAGCCTGCTTCAAACCTGCTTGTCAGGGCTTACCCGATCTGAGGGATACAACACCCAAAGGAGACAAACGGCGATAGGAGGCAGGCTGCTTCAAACCTGCCTGTCAGGGCTTACCCGATCTGAGAGGGATACAACACCCAAGGGAGACAAACGGCAATAGCTTACTCAATAACAAATATCTCTCGATACGGGAATCGACTCATGTCTTCTGCTTTCAACGGCGAAGCGTCTAACCACTACACCACACACACGCGCGCGCACACACACACACACACACACACACACACACACACACACACACACACACACACACACACACACACACACACACACACACACACACAACGGTATCCACGTCATGCAATGGGGTCTGCATTTCAAGACTGCCGAATAAACCTCGAAAACGTAGTCAGAAGAATGGAGGTCGACTGTGGGTGGTTGACGTGTGCTCTAGTGTGGTTGGCTCATTCTTCCTATCAAACATCTCTTGTCCTTATCCCTTCTTATTTTCTGTGTTTGTTACTCTATTAATTTGGCGCTTATATGGCTTATTCATTTTGTAAGGGCCGTAAAATCTTACAAAAACTAAAAGGTCAACTCCCTGGAATGCACACTTCCCCATTAATTACGGCTCAACCACACCAAGACAACGTGTAGCATTAGCGACTTTAACGTGAATATTGCCACTGTTACTCCTGTCTACTTCTTACTGCTATCTTTCAGCAACACCCCTGGTTTTAGGGTAGGTAAGGTGGATCCCCTCGCCCTCTCTTTAAGCGCAAAAATTATTGAGGGTTCCGAGCGCAAATTGCTCTCGTTAAAGATCCTTTGGTGTTTCTAAAATCAATAAAAGTTTGCTTTGACCGCCACCCGATCACAATTCAAAATAAATTCCTACCAAAATTGAAAATGCCGTGGTCAGTATAAACAGTATGGAGTACCTTCGAAGTAGGAATGTGGCCTCCGGAAGGCAAGGGGCCCTACACTGTAATAACTAAGGGTCACATACGTAAAAATCAATTTCGTTGCAGGTTGAAAAATCAGCAGTTGAGTACGCCTAAGATCTAGCTGGGGAACACAAAGAAGAAGATCTCATAACCCCATCTCGGTCTCCAGACTCCGTCTCTACTGATCAAATATGTTTTACACATTTCAACAACAGCAAATAAATACATAAAAAAGAAACGAAAAAAACCCCAACCTAGCAAGCATCTTGATTTCAAGTAAGCATCCTGACTTCGAGCATTAGCTGCACGTCTTTATATTATGAACTCAAGAGACAAAAGTAACGCACTGGGAAGAGGGTATCACTCGAACGTGAAAAAGAGACCTTACAATTCACAAAACCAGGCCACACAAAGGTCTTGAGCCCGATTAAGGTCATCAGGGTTGTTAATAAATTTGAAACTACTTTGTTCTTTATACGCAAGTATGTATAATCATTACAGTGTAGACTCAGTGTTCAGTTACTGTGCAGGGAATATCTAATTATGTCGTAATCAAACCTGCATGTTTTCATGTGAGCATCTGTAAGGGAAAAGTGTGTGTATGTGTGTGTGTGTGTGTGTGTGTGTGTGTGTGTGTTTGTTTGTGTGCGTGTGTATGTGTG